ACTACTAGAGCGTATCTCATAGGGATTATATCAATCCTCTTAATTGTTTTACAAAACAGCAAAATCCTATATATACACCCACAAACCAACTATAAATTATGTTAACTTAGTTATGCAATACTCACACAATCTTAATATTTTTATCCAAAAACACAATTACTAGCCTCTTAGACAACTTATTCAGATTCTAATTGTATAAAAAAACTTAACTATCCAGTTTACCTTTATAGACCACAGAGTAAACCACTCACTTTTTCAAAAGATAGCAGTACAAAATTCAGCTTATACTATATATACTAAACAACAATAACTTCTACTTGATATGAAACAATATACTGGTAGAACACAAAATTTACTGATTTATATGATATCTACAAAATACAAGAAATATTGTTGAGTAATATTTACTCAATAAATCAAACAGTTAGTAAAAAATTTAACAGAATGCAAACTAGAACAATACTCACTAATTTATTAATTATAACAACAAACAATATACAAAATTTATATATCTAAACCTATTATAGAAGAAGAACTTTAAAATTAAATTTCTATTAGATGAGCTACCAATACTACTCAATCTATATTATTAATATTTAAAAAATATACAAATCCAATATACAACAGATGCATCTAGATAATTGAGAACAATATCTATTGGCTAATTTGTTTAACAAACCCAATATCACTACATCAATTAATAACAGAAACAGTTACAAAGTACTGCTTAAAATATAACAACCAGCTACCAAACTTAGTAAGACTAGTACAAAGTTTTTTATAAATAGTATAGACATACTCAATACCTTATTACTAAAAAGATTAATTCTAGAAGATATCCAAACTATTATTTTAATCTATAACAAAACATTCATTAAAATTTTGCACAATACATCCACCAACCTATATAAACAAATATGGCTAGAATATTGTAAAGGTATATATCAGAATAGACTTTTCATAGATACATATACTGCTTATACATGCCAATAAAATAAATTTTCAAAAAACCCTATTTCATCTCTATTAGAGCAATTTAGAATTTTTTATATGCAAAAGCAAATCTAATTTAGATAGTTATGTTCTTTATAATTTCGTCTCTTCAAAAAAAGTGTCAAAAATTTTGTCTTTTAAGTAAAATAGATCAAAAACAATTTTGTCTTCAAATTTTAATTTTGTACCCTGAAATCTAAAATAATTTCATTAGCATGTATAATACTGCTATAACCCCAACTTACTTTTCTATATATCATATTAATACAACTAAATATAACAAATAGAAAACATTATTTTCTACTACTAATATATCTAAAATCTGCTTGTAAATTTCCTATTTAAACTTTCTGATCAACTGATGTTGTTAGAATATTTTTCTTTAGGCAAATCTGTTATAACTCTTAGAACAATTTATTCTTGTAGTAAACCTATCAGAATAGTTTGTATTCTACATATATATTACCTAGATTTTTGGTAATTTATACTCTAATTCAATAACTAGAACTTGCAGTTTTTAGTTCTGTTACTGTTACTTACTTCTTGCTTTGAAAAGTTATCTAAACCTCAGTATTCTCTTTAAGATTACTAGTATCTTTTCTTTTAGTACTTTCTAGCTAGTCTCTTCAAAATTCTAATCCAAATAGCCTGAAAAGATACTAGTTCTCTGGTATCAGCACTTAAGTAGTTCTTTTTTCTCTAATCAATACTCTAATAATCTGGTTGACTGAGTACCCTTGCCAAATATCTAGTCCAGGTGTATTTTACTCTGGTAGTACTATTAAAAGTTTGTATTACCTTTTTTCTTAGAACTTCTCAAGCAAGTATTCATCTCTTTAATTTCTTAACTTTATATAACTTCTTAAGACTTATTATGAGCTTGTATCAACTAATACCAATTTGCATATCTTTATATAATTTATATATTGCATAAATATCTGATTTTTTTTCAAATATTTGATAATACTTGATACAATTTTGGTAACAAATTAGTAATTAAACTCATTGAGACAGTAACTATAATACACATAATATAATATTTGAATTTTATTACTGATAAGATTCAAACCCTAGATATGCTGTTTGGGGGTGTAATAACTTATAATAATTTATTATAAATATTATTAAATTATATTATTATAAATAAAAACAATTTATATTATTTTCTAATATTACATTTATTATTATGAATTAGGTTTAAAATATGAACATAAAATATTTATTTATTAAATATATATATATATATAAAGTATACAATATAGAATATCTAATATTGGCTATTAGTTATTAAAAAGATATATTATTAAAAAAATCTTTTGGTATAAACATCTAATATTACTGTTATCAAAATAGGGTTAGAGTTAAACTGTATTAATATAAAATAGTTATTTTTTTAAAATACTAGTATGAATTATGCTTATTATCAAAATCAAATTTGGATTAGTAAACAATTATTTGTTTATTATCAAGAGTTTGCAAAGATAGATTATAATTTATTATCAAGAATCTGTACAAAAAGTTGTTTATTAGAATTTGATATTTTTTTACTCTTATAAATAAAAATTTTCATTACATTTTATTGTATAAAATAACCACAATATTATTTTATATTACAATAAATTTATGCATTAATAAAATACAATATATTGATATTTTGAGTTACTATATTAAAATTTTAATTCAATTACTCTTTAAATAGTCTTTACTATTAAATTATAACTACCATTACTATGACCTCACTGGCCAATCTTTGCTCAATATTGGCTAAAATTTCCCATAAAACACAAATTAAGCCATATATTCTTTTGCTTTCAAATGTGAAAAGAACCTTAAATATAGAATCAAAACCTCAATATGTTAGCTAATGTTCAAATTTAAAACCGATATGAATGCTTCAAGTTAAAACCAGGAAGTTAATATTTTAAGTTCTCACCATAATGAACTTAACCCTGAAAACTATAATTATCACATACTTGAATACAAATACGATCAGTTCGCTACACTAAGAACTTGAAAATTTACTTTCGGGTTTCAATTTAGCAGAACTTAAATAATTTAAAGAATAACAAAATTACCCCCCGAAATATAATCCTCTGTATAGAGTGGCATTTTAACTTCTGTTAAATATGCTTCTAACTCCTACCAGAGGTCATAAATACCAACGATTTTATTAATTATAATCTCGTAATCTACCAATCATATTTACATCATGTAATATTCCATTCGAGAGTTTTTGACTTGTCCCAAATATAGTTTGGGTTACGACACAATTGTAGAATCTAGTAAAAACCTTTGGGATTCTACTAAGTCCCAAATTACCGGGTTTGGTTTACAACGACCTCCGATTTTACGGGTAATGTAGGTGGGGCCACCAATGTTCATTATGCACAATATGGTCAAAATTTTCATAGCGATAGCATTATAAATCCAATACTGGTTCATTTGCAACAATTGCTGACCTACATGACCCGTAAAATCGGAGGCCGTCCTGGTCGTGTCATTTCTAGTATACATAAATGCTGTTATCATGTTTGAGTTCATGTTGAACTAAAACAATACTATATATCCATACTATATATTATATTTCAATTATTTTTGGGTTAGAAGCTCTTTTCGACTGATAATATTGTGATTATACAATGCTCGGCAGTCAATAATCCTTTTTTGTGATTGGTACTATTTTTCAAAATTAATGATCTCTAACAAAGGACCATAGGAGCAATATAATTCTCGTCGATCTTGACCAAAAATTTAACTAATGTTGATAATAAAGGGACTAAAATCAAATACGTACGTACGTATATCCGCTTGATACACTTTTTGTAAAAACAGATGGATAAACATTAGACAAGCCAACCAATCAAACAGACGCAATTTACATATAAAATTTCTTTCATAAAATAACCGCGTTGTAGATGAATAAAACTATTCACCCAGGTTAAATACAACTTATAAATGCAAGAGCTTTATTAAAAAAGTTTCTGAGAAAATGTTACATGCCCTTTAATATTTTTTAAAACTTCATATAATTAATCGTATATATAAAACTGATCAAACATCGTTTAGAGAATACGCATAATCTTCGAAGACAATCTGCAAAATTTTATATAAATAAAATTAACTAGTTAATATTTGAATAATAATCATAATAATAATGATGATGTTGATAATAAACGAAAAACAATAAAAAAACGAAGTTCATGAATCAAGCAGTATAATATATTTTTATAACCTGCTATACGGTAGACAGTACTCAACTCTTAGTGGTTCTATATTTTATTGTGTGATTCAATGTTATTCAACTTGGTTTTCTTGAAAAAAAACACTTGCTAGGAAGTTGCTTTGTTAGTAAAATGTTGCATCGATAATTATGTTTAAAGATTGCTTAGACCCGAAAATTCTGGTTTTACACTACCTATATAAATACTCGTGTAACGTTTGGTTATCGGATTTTAAATGATAAACATTTGTTATAGGAATTTGATTGGTTAGTTTTTTGAATAGTTCCATTTTTGTAAACAATAACCTACATAAATTTGGATGACACCGTATTTTGAAACAAATGTTTAAATAAATAAAAAAACCAAAAATTTATTAAAAAGGTAGTTATAGATGGGTTTAAGTAAAGGTCAAATTTCTCAAATCAGCTGAATTGCGGATTATCGATTATCGTTATCGTTATACCTACCGAAAAATATCACATGGAATCAATAAATAACTAATGTATGAAGGTTTTACGTATCACGTTAATATATTATTTTAAGAGGAACAGCTGATTGATAACAAAGATGTAACATCTTACAATGTGGCTTTATTCAGCATTCTTCTAAAATGAGATCATCGCGTGACTCTAATAATGGGATTATCGCGTGATTTTTAAATGAAATGTTTCCCACAGGAAAAAACAAAATATCCTCTTTTATTTATAAAAAAAATTCACAGTTCTTATAACTGTTATTCAGTCGCGAAATTATAAAATAACAACGATAAAGAAGCGTTATTGCATAATGTGTGACAACAATAAACACAACAATAAACTTCTTATTGAAATTCTTGAAGGTTTGGCTGGTTCAGGGTGCAATGATAAAGAGTCACAAGATGTTCTTTTAACACGTTGCCTTAACGCATCGTCCCAAGAGCTTAAAGAATTTTTCGACGAACTTTCAGAGCTCTTATGTCAATATCCTGATATATACATACCAACTTTAGAGGCTTACCTTTCCTATCTTTATAAAAAGTATTCGTGTAATAGCGATAGTAGGCTTTCAAATTTTACCTCAATGCTGATCACCATTACCATGGTAGGAAATCTACGTTATTCAGATATTCTACAGTTCAGAGAACTCTTTCGTCTCTGCGTCGAGCTCCTTTGGAAGATTTCAGATAATAAGACGGCAATCTGGATAACTGAACGCGTCTTCAATGAGATTTTGGATGCGCATGGGGTTTTTGGCATTTGGATTTCAGACAAATCTGGCCTTCACTTCATAAAGCGAATTTTGTTTAAATTCAATATGATGGAAATGATCGATCGTAATAAGGCATTAGGAGCTGTAGATTTAGTTGCATCTCTCATTGAGAATTGTTCAGATCACAATAATGGCGTATCACAACTATTAGAAAAGCTTTCTGAATATAAAGCCTGCACAGAATTGCTGAAAACTCTAACAAGTTATCAGAATGCAGAACGTTCTGTTTTAGATGCTAAAAAGAATTCTTTTTTGCCAACACTACAAGACATGATAAAGCTTGACAAAAATGAACCTGAAGTTCAAAATTTGAATAGGGAATGTAACACCTCCAGATTTGTGATAACAGTTAAAAACTTACCTCTCACAATTCAGGATGAACAAAATCTTGCCATCTTGGGGATGGAAGTTCCTAGAAAATTATCAAAGTTACAAATCTTTTTACGAGCCCTTGAAGAACAAAAAATAAATTTGCTCAAGGTAAGTTCATACATAATTAAATAAATGTTTATTTAATGTTTATCACTGATATAACTAATTACCGATTTTCCCTAGGTTTTAATCGAATTTTTGCCATGCGGAAGTTGTCACAGACAAACCCTTGTTGCTTTCTCACCAGATAAATATTCATCTCTTGCGAATGAAAATGTGTCTGCAGATATAGATTATGATACATTCCTATCAGAACGTAAACTTCCATTTGAATTCAGCGATGGTGACAGATTAGGTCCATGGGACGTTTTGCTTAGTGAAGATGCAGTTAGAGATATGCGAAGTTTAGAGTCTCCTCAAATAATTAAGGCAGTCATGAAAAAATTTGGACATATATCATCCGGAAAATGGGATCAATATAAGCTCAGAAATAAAATTGTCGATTGTAGTTCTGTAGACGTCTATGAAATGGAACTTCCTGATCAAAAAGAACTGAGAATTCTTTGGCAAGTTGACTGCCGCTTTTCTACGCGCAGTTGTTCGCTTGCGCAGGTAGTGAAAATATGGACAGTCACTGCAAATCAAGAACAGATTCGCGAGATGTTAGAAAATCTTGCAATCGTTCATCAAGTATATACTATTAAGCAAATACAACTATGCAAGACAGGCATAAATAAAGACGGCGTTATTTTACCAAAAATATTTAGAGGCTTGAGGTCAAATTCCACTAACGAAAGATTATATGACCATCAGGATGATGATGAGAGGCTAATAAAAGTACACCAATTACTTGTTACGAACAAGTTTATTCCCTTGTCGAAGGTAAAGAATATTCATATTTTTGTTATATCTTATCGTGCATAATGATTATAAATGCCATAATTTGTTGTTTAGAATTTATTCAAATCAATTGTTCTTGGAGGTTCGGGTTTCATTTTCCAAGTATCTGAAGATGAATACAAAATCATCAAACATCCTACGTCTGCTATTATCTTTGGAAGATCTGGTTAGTGTTTTAGTTTATGCCTGCATATAATTTAAATCTGTGAAGTAAATAACTTCAATGTTGTTATAAGTTCGATTTTAGCCATTGGCTATCATATTTTAATCATATTTAGTAACTGGTTAATTATACTTGATAACTACTCTCATGCTTATAGCGATAATACAGTATTTTGTCCTTTGCTTAAATTTATTCATTTTATATTATTATTATTATTATTATTATTATTTATTACTGATATTAATTTTCGTCATATCGTGACTAAAAAATATGATATCGTTTTTCTTTGTTTTACATACTTGTTATATAGGAACTGGAAAGACAACATGTATCGTGTTTCGACAGATTGCTTCATACCTTATGAAATCCAATCAATCCAGTAACAAACTTTACAAGACTCCATCCTTACATACAAATGTCATAGATGCGAACATTTTTAACAAAAGACAGATATTCATTACCGTGAGTCCTACTTTATGTATACGTGTTAAACAATATTTTAATCGATTACTAGAGTCTGCTATACTCTCGGAGAAAAAGATGTCATTTACTCAATTTTACG